AAAGATGGAGTAAATTTTTGTTATAATTTGTTTAAAAAAAAAACCTAAGGGAAAATCGCCTTTGCCCATATGATTAGCATGTGCTACGAAATAGTTTTTCGCATTTTCTGACGACCGTATTATTTTGAGTTGTGACTCTTTTGAAGACGGTGTGCGATATATTGAATATTTGTATGGTGGACCTAAAACTCTTGAGTAAGGTCCCAAGAACAGCGTTTTTTGGGCATCTCTGGTGCTTTGAGGACCACCCCAAAGAAAGCGCTAGAAGTGCCAGCCAATTTTGCTGTAGTAAATCTGGTAGGAAAACACGTGGCCGCCGACTCGGCACTTCGAGAAAATAGTATGCCGTAATAGATGGTTTGACCGCTCTTCCATACCTCACACGCTTAGTAGTTATACCCACGAAGTCGACTACTTCGCGTCTAAACCCACCTTCGACATACTCTATTAAATGAACATCTCGTTAAGAAGATAGTGGCAAGCGGCAAGAATATGGAGAAGGGGGGAATTATGTTTCTGCACCGATGGTTCCATGCTGAGAGTAGGGTTGGATACGGAGTTTTCTCTAAAGAATTAAGATCAGAATTCGTCCAAATTTCGCACCAGTGCAGCGTTTATCAGCCAGCTATAAAGGATGTGGCTGTGTGCCTTAATATATACGTCTAAGATAGCCAGGCGGCCATCAAATCAATGAATGCGGCAATGCTAAGATCAAAGGCAGCACCATCTTCAAGGTCAGGCATATATGGGTTCCGGGACATAGAAATATTGAAGGAAACTGCAGGAGCAATGAGCTATCTAAGAAAGATGCCAATCTAACAAAGATACCAATCTAGCAAAGAGATAAAATTGGGACAACCATGGCAATCTGCAAATTAAAAATTAAAACTAATATTATTCGAGGGGTCAATAGGCCATGGATAGATGAGGGGCACTTAGCTTTATTATCCCTATCAACTGTATATTTCGCAAATCTGCTATTCCATCGAAGTGCAGACAGATCCTTTGCGTTTTTCGTTCCCTGCGCATGGGTGACGGGTCGAGTGATTATTCACTGGTGCCTTCCCGGTTTGTTCGTAGTCGATTCATTTTTGTTCTTCGAGAACCCAATATGACACTTATTGGTAGACTTATTATAGGCTTGATTTGGTATTATTGGTGGTGTTTATGCTGACTCCTAGGTAGAAAATCTTTTACTACTTCAACGATATATTTGTCAACAGTGACAATAACCCCAAAACTCGCTGTGTTTGCAGGAGATACATTGTGTTTTCATTCACTGCTAGATATATTTACCTTTGTAGACTATTTCCCAAAGCCAGCAGCATCGTGCTTTTGCTGTATATAGTGCATATATTCAGATTGACGCTTTCAAACATTAATGGAAGAAGTCAGACAAAAGTTAATTGCGATTGCCAATATTTATAGCACTCAGGAAATTTTTTTTCAAAACTGCCTTAGTGCCAGAGATGGGGTCTCTCGGCCAAAGTAAGTCATTGTTTTTATGAAACCATAATTAAGCCTATATTGTTTTACCGAACCTGGTGGAACTCACCAGAGAAGGCAACACTGGCTAAGCAACTACAGCCCGTAAAGTGGATTACACTTCTCGGAATTAGTGGGGCAATAAGAACCACGCCTACACACGTCATGTTAAACGTTATGCCTGTAGATATTGCAAATTGCAATCACAGTTGTCCCAGCACGAACTCTCTGGACGCTGGAGTCTGATAGCCAGGCTCTGAAACATTGGTAGTACGCTCGAAATCGGTGAGGGAAGGTCTGACGCTCCGGAGTACCTCCTAATCAGGCTCATTTTGCCGGCACCAAGCCGCAGTGATATTGCGGAAAACTGCGTGGTGGATGACTTGGCTTGGAACGTCACCCTTAAAACCAACGGGTGTGGAGCAGCTGGGTATGCCTCTGTTCTCCTGCGGTTCACTCTTGGACGATTAGACCTCATGTAAGCTCAGCGAGCGCTGTACTTGAGCTAAGACATACGTGGTGGAGGATCCTTCTGACATGTGGTGGAACTGGGTGGTCACTGGAGCTCCTTATACTTGCAAAATAGTTGCAGGATCTTTCAGATTAGTAATTACTTTTTTTTTAAAAAAATGCATTACTGAAACCATTACTGATAAATACTATGTGGATTTCAATGGTTAGAAAGTGGTTTACTGAGTTTCCGAACGTTCAGGTCACCCAAAAGAGGTCATCACGCCCAAAATCATCGATAAAATTCGTGGAATTATATTGGACGATCGAAGAATGAAAGTGTGTGAGGTGGCTTATGCTGTAGGCATTTCAGCTGAAGCATAACATTTTATGTGGATGGCTATGAAAAAGCTATCCTCGCGATAGGTACAGCGCTTGCTCACACTCAGGGATGTTCCGTTACAAGTAAATATGAGTATGTATTCGATACTTTTGTTTCGATACCAACTACCTTTTTACTTGAATCATTGTTTCGATACTTACTTGGTATCGAAAGAAAAGTACTTGTATCGAATCGATTTGAGCAAGTGCCATATCTTGAAGGCCATATTTTTTCTATGGAAGAAACTTTGCACAGCGTCGTTTTTTATGAAAATTAATTGCTTTAAGCAATGGCACCGCCAAAATCGTAAGTGTGGATATTAGAGGGGTTTATAAAAACACTCTTTTTGGAAATCCATAAACGCTACATCAGAATATTGTTATTTGTGATAAAAAAAGAGACACGTATTTTTTTATTAAAAAAAAAAAGTCTTTTTAGAGGTCGCGCTGGTCCGTTTTTTATAAAAACGCTGATGTTCGCAATTTTTTTTATTTTGTGACATGTTAAAATGCAGCTAAAAATGTGGTTTTTACATATAATTACTCTGGTATTATTGGGGAACATTCCCTTAATTACACACCTATCTTGGACAGTTAGAATGGGCCTAGTTCCCGAAAATATTCTCTCGAAAAGACATTAGTAAAATTAAAACGTTGATACTGAACGATTTACGCGTTGTCATGGGTTGGAACTTGTTACCAGGGGATTTCTGAGGTTTCTAATTAAGAATCTGAAGTCAGTTTTTCAAAATTCAAAATGGCGGTTAAGACTTTAACAAATCCAATAATTTATTTAAAAGTTGGTCGACATTTGGGATCCGCCATTTTGAATTTAAAAAAATTGACTTCAGATTCGTAATCGGCGAACCCAAAAACCCTCGATTGCAGGTTTTCAAACAAATCCAATAACTTTTTAGAAAAATTAATCCCCATTTTGGATCCGCCATTTTGAATTTTGAAAAACTGACTTCAGATTCCTAATTAGCAACCCCAGAAACCCCCAGATAACAAGTTCCTACCCATGACAACGCGTAAATCGTTCAGTATCAACGTTTTAATTTTACTAGTCTCTTTTCGAGAGCATATTTTCGGGTATTAGGCCCATTCTAACTACCCAAGACAGGTATGTAATTAAAGAAATGTTCCCCAATAATACCAGAGTGATTATATGCAAAAACCACATTTTTACCTGAATTTTAACATGACAAGAAAATAAAAAAATTGAGAACATCAGCGTTTATATAAAAAAAAAAACCGACCAGCTGGAGGTCGCGCTTTTCAAAAAGAAAACCCCGTTTCTCTTTTTTTATCACAAACAACAATAATTTGAGGTGGCGTTTTTGAATTTCCAAAATAAAATTTTTTTAAACCACTCTAGTGGATATAGATTTGCAAAGTTAGTGATATTCCAGCAAAGTGCAAGCAATGCTTTGAAGCCGTAAAGTTTTGTGGGAACCTTTCAAAGGTTGAATTTTTTGTCTAAGTAATCGTTTAACCTCTAGCATTACTAATGAACAAATATACATATCGACATCTGAGTGGAAGATCGAGGAATCTCGGTAGCCAGTTGAAAAACGCCCTATCTCAGAAAACTTTTCAAGAACGCCCTATTACAGAATTTGGGTCACAAATGCCCTACTTCAACTGAAAATTTATTGAAAATATTTGAGATAGAGCGTTTGTGAACGGAATTCTGAAATAGGGTGTTCTTGAAAAGTTTTCTGAGGTATGGCTTTTTTCAACCATATTCTGAAGTAGGGCGCTATTGAAAATTTTTCTGTGATAGGGCGTTTTCGAATTGGCTGCCTAAATATTCCACTCAAGTGTCGCAAAATATATGTCACAGATAACGCCTGAAAATTACTTTCGCTTTGTTGCATATAAAAGGATGAACAATTATCGATATAAGTAGGTATCGATACATTCGGTTTACTCATTTAAGAAGTATCGAAATAGCGATTTGAGTAAACTCATTTAAGTATACATCGATACTTTGATGGTCTCGGAACGTCCCTACTCACACTCTGCCATAAACGCAACTGTGTGACACTTCAAATGAGTGTTTGGCGATGTTCAACCGCAATCTGAATGATTTTTGCACCGTTCCGTAACCTTTGGTCAAACATGGATCCATCATATAACACCAGAGACCAAGGAACAATCTTGAAGTGCAGCAAAGAAGGCCAAAGTGGGTCTGTCGGCCAATAAGGTCATGGCAGCAGTTCTTTGGAATGCAAACGATGAACTTGAAAAGGACAAAGCGATCACTGGCGAATATTATTTAGAGATTTTGGTGCTGTTTCATCAAGACAGTGCACGTGTGTAGGCACCATAGAAGAAACCATCAATTGGTCTACGAACTCCATCCCCAACCACCATATTCAGCTGATTTAGCCCCCACCGACTTTTTCCTGTTACCAAAACCAAAATAATAGCTGAGAGGTAAGAGATTTGAGTCGAAGGTCACCACTGAAACAAACACTAATTTTGAGGGCCTTGAAAGACCTATTATTTGGTAGGAATTAAAAAATTTTAAAATAGCTGGCCTGACTGTATCGAGCTGAAATGAGACTGTGTTGAGAAATAAAACGCTTTTTCGCCGAAAAGTATATATTTAATTCAAAAAGTCAGTGACTTCAAATTACCCTCGTATAATACGTAAATTATTTAAATTAATAATTTTTTCAATCCTTTCCGTAAAACTCGTCATAGGGCAATACTCGCAACACACCAGCCAACAGCCGTTTAACAATTTTCGCAACCGCATCATTTATTTGATCTTCCATATCAGAATACAGCACCTTCCAATTGTCATTGATGAGTTGATTTAGAGAATTGGCCAATTGTTCGTTACCATTAAATAGATTTTCGAATTTCACTTTCATTCTGTTTAAAAAGAAAAAAAGTAAATTTGAATTTTATAAATCATTAAAATTTAAGTGTCATGAAAATATTTGTATAATTTGTCTTACAATTCTGGTGTTAATTTGCATTTGAGGTCCTTAATTTTTATGAACTGCTTGCCATCTTTCCGCACTTCTTCGCTCTTAAATTTCAAACTGAGTTTGCTATTCTTCAGTTTTATTTTCGCATAACCAGTGGCGTCCATTGGTAGTATCAGCACCTTGCCGCTAGAAATGTATTCTCCATCGACTACCAAATTTGGTATGGTTATATATATTTCAAATTTTGAATTGAGTGGATCCTTTTCAAAGCCCACGATGCGTTGCACAGTTAAATTGCTGATGCCATGCAGGTACATTTTCTTGAATTCCAAATTAAGCGAAACTCCCGAATGCGGGTTCGCTTTTGTAAGAACAACATCGTCGAGTGAAAGTTTTTCTATATCGGTAAGACCGATTTCCGGAATTCCTTGAGCATAGTTTTGTAAAATGAACGGAAGTGTTTTAGCAATGCAATCAACATCGCCAGCGTGACATTTTTCTATTTCGGAAGCTGTGTATTTTTTGAGGGCAAAAAAAGAAAGTAGTAAGATATTAAGGTTATTGGCAATTTTTAACGGTTACAAAACTACTTAAATATATAATACAATTAAGAATACAAGTATGTGATTATTGTTTTTATTTTATTTTATTTGAGGCAGTCTTAAATACAGATTACGTTGGGCTTCCTGAAGAAGCAGTCCGCGATATTTACAAACAAAGTAGGTTTCAGTGTGAATGCAGACAAAACAGACCTAGTGCCTCCACCAGAAAGTTATAAATTCAGTAGCTCGTTTCTGTAACACTTCTCTACCGATTATCTCTCTACTGGTAGAGAATATACGTCATTCTCTACCAGGGGAAGCCGACTCGTGAGGAGTTCCCCGATTTGTGGGGAATTTCAGTTTGCGTGGGGAATCGGGGAATGGACCGTTTTTTGTGGGGAATTTCAGCTCGTTCAATTCTAGTATGGCAAAAAAATTATCGTTGATTTTTAGAATTTTCTTTGCATTTGCTTTCATATAGCGAATGAACATAATTTATTTTTATATGGAAGAAAAAAACGCAACAGCTTAGGAAAAAATCCTAAAACGGAAATTTTTAGCCATTTGAAACTTGCACTTTATTATTCTAGAATTGAGTAGGCTACGTAAATGCATATACAAAATATTTATAGAAACTCCATTTAAAAGCTCGAAATTTTTACGAAAGTTTGCTGAATTTTGTTCAAATATTGCACAAAGTCTGAAACTTGGATCTATACGGTTTTATGTTAAAGAAGAAACTATATTTTTATAAAAAAAAATAACTCAAATTAAATAACAAAAAATAATAATAATTGATGCGAGTAATTTTTTCAACCACTGTATGTAAAATTCAAAATGACCATAAAAAGTAAACTTTTTGATTTTTTGTCTTCCTTTTGACCTAAAAACAGCATGCAATGAACTTAAAAAATATATATAAAATGCCTTTTTCGGTTCCTGCTACCATTGAAAAGGATTCCTTGATGCAAGAACACCAAAAATATCTATTTAAAACTTTTTAAAAAGTTCACCTCATAGGGTTTTCAGGTAAAAAACACAGCTTCATCTAATTGGAAAAATAATCATATAATTAGAAATAATCAAATAACTGAAGATAATCTAATAACTAGAAACAATCAAATGATTAAATGCAATCAAATAATTAAAATAATCAAACAATTAAAAATAATCAAATAATTAAAAAAACAATTTGATTAATTTTGATTATTTGATTATTTCTAATTATTTGATTATTTTTGATTATTCTTTAATGGCAATTAATATGATTATTTTTGATAATTATAATTAATTATTAATGGCTGGGTTATGTAAGAAAATTAAAATAATCATTAAAATTTAAAATTGCAAAAAAATTAATGATTACTGGAAAATCAACAATAAGTTTTTCATTATAAACGGCCTCAAGCTCAATAAAAATTGTTGAATATAATTGTTATAAGGCCATAAAATAACAAAAATAAATAACTTAAGGACGAGCACCCCTAAAAGTTAAACATTCTAATAATAGAAATATTAACAAAAACCAACAAAACCAACAACCACATGATCAAGTGTGAATTGCAGCGGAATAGCTGCGCTTGATTGTAGTTGGCTTAACAAATGAAATAGTGGAAAAAGCAACAAGAATTCACAAGGCGAACTTAGCACAGTGCGTAGGCAACTGGCTGAGTCAGTGGGATCGTCGGTTCGAATCCTACTGAAAGAAGTCGGATGAGGAAATGTAGTGATTTCCGAAATAGCTATCACTTCTACCATTTTTTCAGAATTATTGTTGCTTTTCCACAATAAGTTTTTCATTAAAAGGCCAAGAAATAACAAAAACAAATTTATAACTATGTAAATTATTTTAAATAAAATGTAATGCTCACAGGGAAAAAAAATGTTTTGTCGACAAACATATATATGTAGCTGTGAAATACGGTGTTACGTTGTTCTTTCAAATGACCATAGATAACAGGGATGTTGCGAATATTTGCATTTCTGGAGGGTATTCATGTATTTTAGATATGTATTTGTATTCCGCTGCTTTAAGCATGTCATACCATCAGAACACAAACAAGTATGTTTCTTTACAATGAAATCGATCAAATAATTAGATATAATTAAAAAATCAAAAATAATCAAAAGTAATCACCAAATTTAATCAACTACTATTTATATGTTCAATGGCAGCTTAAGAGCTGACTTAGCAATGTTTCCCCATGGTAGCAATTCCAGGCGAAGCGATAGCTAAAGTTATGTAATTCTTTGAACCAACCGTTGCCAGAATCCTTCTGATAAGGAATGTTTTGCTAGTTCTTCCTGGCGTATCAAGAAGAAGGTCCCCGAACTCCGTCAATTAATATTTGCATATTTTTCCTCTAATTTGGTGCTGTAACCGCCTAAGCCATTTTGGCCGAGATCGACAAAGAACGCCAGTCGTTTCAATCTGTGCCAACTGACGACAGTTGGAAATGCCACGTGAAGCCAAGTCCTTCTCCACTTGGTCTCTCCCTCTTCCTCTGCTACCACCAGCGGATTGCGAGTTGAATACTTTCAGAACTGGAACGTCGCTTCCCATTCAAACGACGTGGCCAAACCAGCGGAGCTGCTGTATTTTCATTCGCCACACCATGTCCATTTCGTTGTAAAGCTCATACAACTCATCGTTCCATCGTCTGCGGTTTTTCCGTCGCCAACGCGCAGAGGCCTGTAAATCTTCCATAAGATCTTTCTCTCCAATACTCCAAGAGCCATCTCATCGAATGTGGTCATTGTCTAACCTTCTGCGCCATATACCAGCTCGGACATGATGAGTGACTTATAGAGTGTGGTTTTTGTACGTCGAGAGAGGACTTTACTCCCGAATGGCAATTCAGTACAAAGTTGCACTTGTTGGCTAGAGTGATTCTGCATTGGATTTCCATGCTGACGTTAACCAAACCCAATCGCCTTGCTTCGTTATCTAACTTGGAAAAGGCAGGACAGACTTCGTGGTTTTTGTTACCGATGATATCGATGTCATTGGCATACGCCAGAAATTACGTAAACAATTTTTCCTGAGTGGTTCTGTTCTGCAGCTCTTATTATCTTAACACTTGCATAATGCGATCGTAAATGCCCTTCTGAATTCGTCTTAATTTTGGAATGTTGGTTTGGGCATATAACAGGGGTTCACAATAGTAATAGTAATCATAATCATAATAATATTATCTGAAGTTATTCAAAATTTCTTTACTCGCAATATACGTAGTAGGCTATGGCGACCCCAAACGAAATAAATTGTTTACGATTAAAAGTTAACTGATTTATAATGCTAGGGAATGGTGTCAACAATTTTAAGTGTTCATTAAGTATTTGTTAAACCTCTTTGTTGCGATAGTTTTTTGTTTTCGTTACTCTTTTATCATTTTGTTATTTGTTTCAGTAGTTTTTAGCCGACTTCACAAAAAGGAGAAGGTTATCAATTCATCGGATTACTTTTTTTTATGTATGTTACCGCATAACTTTGGACCACGTCAACTGATTTCCAGGTGATCCCATACTAATTTGGTTTAGATCCGATCATTGGATCATGGAAAAATTAACGGTGCTATTAAATTTGTATATGGGAATTGAAGCCGGTTGTGTTTTTTGCTTAAAAATTACTTGTTTATTAACTTTTTACATTAAGTAATTTGTGTACCAACTCTTCGTTGATAATATGATCACTTCGTTTGATAAGATGTTGCAAATTCTATATTTATTTAAACTGTTCCTATTTTGGATAAGTTTAAAGATTTAAAAAATTCCCTAGTAAAGCTTTCCCAAACACTTTTCGTTTAGAACCAGTTATGTTATATTTCATTTAACTTTAATATTTTCAGTCTTTACTTTTAGATAGGTGATAATCCTATTAAAAATATTTCCAAATCAATATTTTTCAAATACCTTTCGTTTGGCACCCATATTGTACCTCAAACATATTTTCTGCTGTAAGCCTTTTCAAAACTTTTTAGTTTCGACACACACGTGGCAATACTTCATTTATTTTATCAATTTAATTGAGTTAAAATTTTCAAATAGAAGGCAACCCTCCTCAAAATTATCTCCAACAGTTAGCTTTCTGAAACCTATTTAATTTGATACCCACATTGTAATATTTCATTTATTTTATCAATTTAGCCGAGTTAAAATCTTTAAATAGGTGGCAACTCTCCTCAAAAATATTTCCTAGAGTAATATTTCTGAAACCTATTTTATTTGATACCCTCATGGCAATATTTCATTTATTTTATCTTTTTAACCGAGTTAAAATTTTAAAATAGGTGGCAGCCCTCCTCAAAAATATTTCCAACAGTTATCTTTCTGAAACCTATTTAATTTTATAAATACCCATATTGCAATATTGCATTTATTTATCAATTTAACTGAGTTTAAAATTTTTAAATAGGTGGAAACCCTCTTCAAAAATATCTCCAACAGTCATATTTCTTAAACCTCTTTAATTTTATACCTATGTATATAATAAGTTATTTATTTTATCAATTAAATTGAGTTAAATTGTCGAGCAGATAACAACCCTCCTCAAACATATTTTCGGCTGTAAGCCTTCTTAAAAATCTTAAGTTTGATACCCATATTGAAATGCTTCATTTATTTTATCAATTTAACTGAACTAAAATTTTCAAATAGGTGGCAACCCTCCTCAAATATATTTACAACAGTCATATTTCCTAGACCTCTTTAATTCGATACCTGTATTGTAATACTTAGGTCATTCATTTTACCTTTAAATTGAGTTGAATTTTCAAACAGGTGACAACCCTCCTCAAACATATTTTCGGCTGTAAGCCTTCTTAAAAATCTTAAGTTTGATACCCATATTGAAATGCTTCATTTATTTTATCAATTTAACTGAACTAAAATTTTCAAATAGGTGGCAACCCTCCTCAAACATATTTCCAACAGTCATATTTCCTAGACCTCTTTAATTCGATACCTGTAT